AGGAGGAGGAGGAGGAGGAAGATGGCAGTGGTGGTTCGGGAGGGTGGCCAGAATTTGTTGACGGCGTAGAGGACGAAGAAGAGGTGGACGGAGAGACGACGGTTGGTGCAGTTGGTCCCACAAGCCGGTTTTGAGCCCAGAGTGTCCGCTGACAACGCGGACACGTTGGGGACGGTTCGGCGATGGCGATGGGCGCAGCTGAGATGTGCGTGTTTCTCGTTTGGCTTTCACGACGGCGATGCGGTTTGCCTTGTAGATTGCTCCGTTTGTCTTCACTGTCCTCCTCCAGGTCAGTCGATCGCGAGCGAGGTCTTCGCAGTTGGCCGGGTTGATCTGCAGACGCTTCAGGTAGGTCTTCAGAGTATCCTTGTATCGACGGATTTGGCCTCCTTAGCGGCGCAAAACCCGTGGCGTCGTTTGGGTAGCCGCTCGTTGTCCATCCGCACGGGATGGCTTCTCCAGCGCAGGTGCAGTTGTCTCAGCATGGCGTAAATGCTCAGGATTGTCGTCCGCTCCAAACGTCAGTGTCGGGGATTCGGTCTTGCCACCTCAGCTTCGGTATCCGTCGAAGACAGCTGAGGTAGAAGTGACTGAGTCTCCGCGCCTGCTTCTTGTACACGGTCCAAGTCTCTGCTCCTCCTCCTCCTCCTCCTCCTCCTCCTCCTCCTCCTTCAAATGCCTTACGAGATCCCAACGCAAAGTGGATGAGTATGGGCTTGGGATATAGGACTAAATTGAAAAAAACGAAAAAGAGGGAGAGACATGGAGGGGAAAATGCTTACTTCTATTGCTGTGTTCTGTCGACTATGACTGGTTGCCGGTAGAGGCAATCAAATATACTGGGCAATGATCACATTTCGCAAGTTGGTCATGAATCACCGTGAGTTTGTCCCAGCAGGTAAAGTCACGAGCAGACCCGAAAATCTATGACTCATTGGCAAGGTCTCGATTACGAGGAGAATAATAAAGGCGCCAGAAGGTGGGTTTTTATTTCGCACAGAAGGCCTGAAGAGTTGTAGGGTTAGGCAGCGCGGTGAACGTGAGCATGTGTTCCGACTTTAAGCGAGTCAGCGAATTTCCACGTCAGCCATGGTGTTGATTAACTAGGAAGGCTGACTGTACGTGGCAGGGGCGTGCCAGGGCGTCTTTAGGTAAACTTGTAGTAAGTTGAGTGGCCCTGACGATCGTGCGTTATACCAGAGACAATGACTATAGGCACTGGAGTACTCTAGGCTCGTGAATCACCAAAGGTCCAACTAAGAACTTACATGGCACAAGTTGGTGTTTTTCACGTCGGTGCAGGATATGATGTGTGTCCCTATCGATGAGCCTTCAAAGCAGGTTGAAGCGCTGCTTCGCCGGATTAAATCTGATCCTTTCATCGTGGACTTCGTTGAATTTGACGCCCCATAAGTATGCGGCTGTGTAGTATCGAGGTTCCACAACCACTACATACCATATGCGTCCACCACTTCCATATGCTCCTGTCTTAAACAGCGGGTTAAACTACAAATTTGTCAAGTCAGGGTATTACAGCTCTTGTCACATCAATAATCTCTGTCCCTTCCCAGTGTATGCCATGATTCACCAGCAGGCGTAAACGAGGATCTCCAGAATTACTTTCTATCTGCAGTAACTGTTGCCGGTAGTCTGTTTCATACCAATGATACTGATCGGAGAAACACAAGCGCTCTAACATTTACCTAGCACCCCTACTGCACTTATGATAGATCACTAAGTATTTGCATTCTACTGGCTGCCTGTTTGCAGCTTGTACGCATTTAGCGGCTACTCCCTGCCAGCCGATGGATTTCCTTTCCGACTGAAGTTGCCTAGGAACCATCCTTCAAAACATAGTACGCCGATTTCATCTCGAAGGCGATAGCCCGTACCCCCTGCCGAGGATATAATCTGTGGTTACCACAGGGTTTCCGGTTCCATTTGCGCCTTAAGAAACGGACGATGGTTGCGTTTTTGAAGTCCAGGGGGATCTGCCCATGTCGTTACATCTTCCGGAATGGTGTTCACTAGTTGGTGGCCATCGTATCTGTAGATGTCAGCTGGAATCGCATCAGACTCTGATGCTTTCCCGCTGGAGCGCTGTTGCCCGCCGTGAATGGTTTCTGGAAGGGATGGCTGGAGGTCCAGGCTGATGATGGTTTCCACTTGAGGAAATCGATCCATGGTGGAGCCAGGAATTGTAGAGGTGTGGCGGTCGTCATCCAAGAAAGACGACTGGGGAGGCTTTGATTTGGTGGCGTTATCCACCTGGAGACATCGAATGATCCTAAGACGTGACCCAACACGGTTCGTCAAGACATGGAAGCACTTACGCCCTTGAACTTTGGTCGGCGTCAGTGGGACGCAGAGTATCCCTGTCTCTTCGCATTCTCGGCCGCAGACACTCGCACATACAATAGATATGCTAAATCATGAAATGTCAACAGAAATTGGTAAACGCTTTTTCGACTCGAAAAGGCTACTTAAGTAGCATAATCCCATGACAATTCAGTTACTACAATATGTAGGCTTTTGAACAAACTGCTTTCCGGCCGCCTGCAAAAACTACACTGCAAGAAATGACTACTTAATTAGTGCGAATTTTCGTCACTAATTTTCGGTGCCCTTATAAAGGAGGGTATATTTCATGGAAAAATGCGTAAAAATATTTATGCTTTTATTCACTTGGTAAAAAATTGCTTTTTGTTCAAATTTTGTATTTGAAGGAACGCTATAATTCGGTTCTAAAAAAATTTTCCCATTTTCGTATAATTTCGAAACCGACCTGCCGTTACACTTGCATTCAGGGTTTCCAAGCTACAAACAATAAATTTTCCTTGTACGGAAACTCATACATTTCTGCACGCTATTAAGAGGAAACCATATGGGATACATAAAATTTAGCAGTGGATTTGGGCCATATTGTCAACTTTACAAGCAACATTAGTAAATGCAGAGACACGAGGTCTTATCAGCGGACATTTAACGGTCTTGAAAAGTCTCATAATTAGAGACCTTTTTAAAACCGAATCAGGCTCATCCGTCAATTATAAAATTTTAAGACTTAATTTTCTACCAAAATGAACAAAAGAATGAGTATTTTTAAGCATGTTTTCTATGAAATATATTTGCATTTGTAAGGGCAATGAAAATCAACGAAGAAAATTCATGCTATAAAAGTAGTAATTTTTTGCAAAGTTCATTTTTCGCAGGCGACCGAAAAGAAGTTTATTCGAAAGCCGGCATCCTGAAGTAACAAAATTATCATAGGACTATGCTACAAGGTGATTGATTTTACAACCCTATTTAAATAATCTTTTCGAGTCGAAAACGTATTTCGGAATTTCGGTCATCATTTCATGAGTTAGCACATCTACCGTATAGGGGTACAATCCTCGACATCTCGATACCGACTAGATCACGCATGATCTGGTTGCATTCAAGGTCATGTTTCGGACTACGACCGGGCGTCTCGTGCGCTTTGCAGAGGCCGCTGCAATACGGAGGAGGAAACCAGAACTCTGTAAGCAGCTGGACCATGTGATAAACCTGGCACTGCCATGGTAAGGATCGATTATGGACGAGACCCTGTTCCCATGTGCGCCCTCTCATTTCGCCCCCACCCGTCCCCCTCTCCCCGGCATGACTGAATGCTCCCCGCACGTTGCACACTTAATCACGCCGCACAAGTTCTCACTGTAGTCCTAACTCGCATACATGGATGACTTCTCTCCCCCTCCCCCCCCGCCAAATGCACACGCATACTAGACCCATGTTTCAGGTTACCTATAACGTTTGATTTCCCTAGGTCGATCGTTGATTGAATAGTCTGCCTTGTCAAATAACTATGCAATGACCGTGTGCAGCTGAATGAGAGGTCTCGAAATTTATGACGTCAGTAAATTCTGCATGCTTCGTCGCCTTTGCCATGTTCAAATTTATTCCGGGAAAACATTGCGTCAACCCTATTTAAATAATCTTTTCGAGTCGAAAACGTATTTCGGATTTTCGATCATCATTTCATGAGTTAGCACATCTACCGTATAGGGGTACAATCCGCGACATCTCGATACCGACTAGATCACGCATGATCATAGCCTACAAGGCACCGGTGTCGCTGAGAGTCATTTGTATCAGCGAAACAGTCATATTCAGTACCTCTGCTAAGCTTTGCAAGCCCTGAGTGAACACGTGGAACTCAGACCCATTTGACGTAAAAACAGGCCGCCGCCGCCGCCGCCGCCGCCGCCGCCGCCACCACCACCACCACCACCACCACCACCACCACCACCACCACCACCACCACCATCAGCACCACCATGGTGCGTGGAGGCGGAGAGAGTGCAATGGGCGCTGCGAAAGTCCTCCCAACTCCTCGCGCATTATGGGCAGCATGGACGTCGTGACTCGTGACGGTCGAGTCGTGCATTCATACGTCGTTGTATTTTATATCATGTAAAGTCCTCTTGATGTTATCTCGCCGTGGAAACACAGAAACAATGTAATAATGAGTGAGAATGCTGTTGCCCAGTTCTTCCTTACTACAAATCGACCCCACCGCCAATCACGTTCGTTGCTTTTAAACTACTCACATCAATCTGGGGCTAAACTTTAAAATTTTGCATGGGCCAGCTGCTTACTCTTCACAGGCGTACCGGGTGTCAGATCAACCTGCTCGGTGACGACAAAGTTATCATCCAAATACCCAGTCCGGAGATTTGGTGTGCGGGTTCACAGGTTTCGTGACTCATAACCGGGGTGATTCTACAACAGTGGGGGTCACTGGCCGTCCGACACCACAAACCGAAATTCTGGGCTCGGTAATGCGGGTAATGCTTTCATCGTCATTAAACTGGCTCAGGTGTTGGCACTCAAAGAACATCTCAACTCCTTGAGGTCCTCGTCTGCGCATTACTATAAGTTAAAACGAGGAATGCGTTGATGTGCCATGAGGTAGACTAGTTTAAGAATAATCTCACTCTCCCCTCCCCATTTCTCTCTCTCTCTCTCTCTCTCTCTCTCTCTCTCTCTCTCTCTCGTCCATGCGTATGTGATCTGTCCAAGGCTGTTGACTGACTGATGTTGAAATCTTGCGAAATAGCTGGTGTGGCATGGAGTTTTCACTTATCACTTGCCATCTACGTGTCTACAAACAAACAGGATAGTCTGTCGTTACCGAATTTGGCAAACATTACGGTAGGGTTGATGTGCTAGAGATGGGTGGATCCAGCATGTGTTAATGTAACCGAATAACTCCATGGGGTAGTTGCGTGTAGCTGGCGGGGATTCATGAAGGATGGGCGCTTCTCAAGGCTCCAGGTGCCGGTTCCCCAGTCGCCATGTGATGGCTTCGCAGGCGACCGACCGTGCCGACGCGTGTCGGGAATGCGCAAGTACAATGCGAATAAGTTTGCATTACTGACAGTTATCCCCCACCCCTTAATGTTATCGGCGGAACTCCACCATCACAAGAAACTGAAGCCCCCCGCCTTCTCCGGTCCTGACATGGGACCCCACCACTTCTGCCTGGACACTGTACGCGCCGGGCATATCTGGAATGGCTCCTCCTAGCAGGCTCCACCCACTGCTGAGCTCGGGAGCTCATCAATCCTTGAGCCTATCAAGTCACAAGTCTTCAGTCCCGCCTCTCATTATCAGAGACAAAAGCAGATACGGATGGTTCATGCATAAGGGGCTGCAGTACTTACAGTATGCAGTCGCCATGCTACCGCAAACCTATGAACA